TATCTATCTATCTATCTATCTATCTATCTATCTATCTATCTATCTATCTATCTAATCTATGAGAGAATTTACTTTTAACAACTCAATTCATGCCTCCCATCAACTGTCACATTTGAATTCACTTATGGCCTCCATCCTTGCTTTTTTTCTGAGTATCTTCTGGCCTTTGCACATACCAAAGCTTCAGAAGTTTTAGGCAGGTTACATCCTTCAAAAACAACTTGTTCTCCTTCAAGAACAACTACAGTACACTGCACCAAGTGTTCCTATAAGTACTCTGCTGACTCTCAACAACAGGAAGGACCCCCTCTACCAACACTATTAAATAATGGATTGGGTTTCTTATTGAGCATCTCTCCTTCACAGAACTATCAAAGAAGCTTATTGGTTAATTCTTCATGGTGACACAAATCAATTTAATGGTCTTTGACTTGCAACTTTCTGCTATACTGAAGATACTGAATTTTTCACTGTTCCATAATGACTCAAGTATACCCAACACCCTAACCCACATCAGCTGTAGTGCCCCTTCCAATCTTGGTAGATGGGGAGGAGTGTGTTCTAGAGTCTTGGTCAGGAGGAGCATCTGTGTTGCCAGCTATTCTGATTGAGGAGAGTGGTGCTTGATGGAGCAGGGGAGGCTGGAAGTTGGGTGAGCCAGGAGAGAAGAGCATAGTGACTCCTCAGTTGCCTCTCAGACTTCCAGTCTGGAGAATACTTTGTTGTTGGAAGGGAAGATTTGAAATAATGGGTGTGTCAGTGGCTCTAGCTGAAGAGGGGTATTCAATAATGGATACTGAGGAAGCAGGAAGAAAAGCACTGCCCATTTTTGACACTCTGAATCTTTGGGAATGTCAAAAATGGGCAGTGCTTTTCTTCCTGCTTCCTCAGTATCCATTATTGCCAAGGCTAGTCCTCAACTTACAATGGCAATTGGGACCCTGCAGTCCCAACTGCCGTTCTTAACCAAATCCCACAGTCATCTATGGACTATAATTTTCTTGGCTGCTGTATTTATGTATGTATGTATGTAAGTATGTATGTATGTTCGTAATTTGGTTTTAATTGATTTTATGATTGTTCGCTGCCCAGTGTCACTTGTTTGAGATGGGCAGCCATATAAATTGAATGAATGAATGAATAAAAAAATAAATAGGGCAAGGCCAGGCAACTTCCTGCCGGCTTCCCACAACCAACATCAATAGGGAAACCAGCAGGAAGTTGCAAGGCCAGGCAGGCAAGTAAGTGGCTGCTGCCGGGTGAGGAAGGGGGTGCATGGGAGTGCGGGGGAGGGAGGGGGTGCAAGGGTACGAGGGGGTTCACAAGAAGCATAGGTGAGGGAGGGTGTGCAAAGTGCAAGGGAGGGTGCAAGGGGGTGCACAAGCATGGTGTGGGTTGGGTGTGCAAAGGTGCAAGGGGGTACATGAGAGATCAGGTTGGGGAGGGTGCAAGGGGGGTGCAAGGCATGGTGCGGGTTGGGGAGAGTATGTGAGGGTGCAAGGGAGGGTCGGGGAGGGTGTGCATGAATGCCGCAAGTGTAGAGGGGCTGGGAGAGGTTGCACAGGTGGGGGAGACTTACCCCAGCAACGTGCAACCTTCCCTGCCAGCTTCCCCATTGACTTTCTGGGGAAGTTGGCAGGGAAGGTTGCAAGTGGTGATCGTGGGGCACTGCAATCGATCGTAATTGCAAACCACTTGCCAAATGCCCAGATCGTGATCACATGACCACGGGGGTGCTAGGATGGCTGGAACTCCAAGGACTGGTCATGACCACAATTCGTTCAGTGCTGTTGTAACTTCGAACAGTCATTGAATGAATGGCTGTAGGTTGAAGACTGCCTGTACTGTAACATGCTTCTATTATCGAAGGACACCATTTTTTAGGAACTTATTCTGGCTAGCTCTGTATATATTTGGCCAGAGAAACATAGTAAAAGTATTCTATATGAATATTGCATTATGTAATGAGTATTACTCATAACATTTGGTTTTAATTTTGGTTTTCCTTTCTTTGCAAAGGTGGATCACTTGGACAAGAATGGTCAGTGTGCATTGGTACATGCAGCTCTTAGAGGCCACCTGGAGGTTGTCAAATTCTTGATTCAGTGTGACTGGACAATGGCTGGACAGCTGCAAGGAGTGTTCAAAAAAAGCCAGGCTATCCAACAGGCACTCATTGCTGCTGCTAGCATGGGATATACTGAGGTAAGCTGTTATTTAGTCTTGCTAAATGGCCAAGTCTTCAAGTTAGATATGTTTAGGCAAGATCCTATTTAACAACCTCTTTTTAAAGCTTGAAGGAAGTGAAGAATGTGCCATTATTGAGGGAGGCTGGATTGAAATATGATGAGCATGGTTTTAAAATTGGAAGAAGAAACTTCAATAACCTGCATTATGCTGATGACACTACTCTGATAGCTAAAAATGCAAATGATCTGGAAGCTCTAGTAATGAAGTCAAGAAGAGTAAAAAAATGGGACTAAGACTAAGACTAACGAAGATCAAACTAATGACAACAGGTCCAGCAACCAGCTTTAAAATTGATACTGAAGATATTGAAGTGGTAGATATTTCCTGTCTTTTAGCATTGACTATCAACAGTAAAGCAACCAGCAATCAAGAAGTATACCACAGACTAGGACTTGGTGAGGTAGCAATGAAGGCCTTGAAGATATTCAGATACTATGATGTCTCTATTCTTACAATCATCAGAATCATGCAAGCAATTATTTGGTTTGGTTCTATGGAAGCAAATGTTGGATTTTGAAAAAGCAGGCTAGGCTAGGCTAGGCTAGGCTAGGCTAGGCTAGGCTAGGCAAGGCAGGGTGTTGATAGTTTTGCACTTTGGTGTTGGAGAAGACTTCTGAGAGTACCATGAATAGCCAAGAAAAGAAACAAATGGATCATAGAACAAATCAATCCAGCGTTTTCACTCAAGGCACAAATGACCAGATTCATTTGGAAAAAAAGAGAAGAGGGTGACCAGTAGCAAAATTGGTGAACTCAGTTACAGTGGCAATGGGTGTACAGTTGGAAGACCTGAAGGGCCAGGCTGGGAACAGATCATCCTGGAGAAGGTCTATTTGTGTGATTGCTAAACATCAACTGGATGTTTATGTTTGATGGCATGTAATCAGTCAGTAACCACTTTGCCAAAGGAGCATGAAGTATCAAGACAAAGTATTGTGGTCAAAACTGAGATGGGAACAACCAATCATTGAAGATCCTGATATTAGACTATATAGAACTTTAAAGGTCAAATACAGTATTTTGAATTGATTGCCTCTCTCTCTCCCTCTCTCTCTCTGAATTAATTTTTATTAAGTTTTTACATAAGTAAAAGACAAATACAAAAATATATAAAGAAAAAAGAAAAAGTGTCGAAAAGAATACAGTTAAAAGGAAAAAAAGATAGCTAAAGAAGCAACTTCCACCCTTCTTTACAGCAGTTATAGACAAACTCATTATCCCTCCTCCCTCTTTAACATTACAATAATCCCTTCAGCTCCTTATTCAATCTTTTTTCATTCATCAAATCCAGAAATCACCTTTTCACTTTTTTTCCCCATTTTCAGCAAAAAGTCCATAAAAGGTTTCCAGACTTTTATAAAAGTATTTATTGTCTTGTCCCTGACCAAACAGGTCAGTTTTGCCATCTCTGCTAGTTCTGCCATCTTCACAATACATTCCTCCATTGTGGGTACTTCAATATTTCTCTAACTTGTACATGTAACGATCTTGCTGCAGTTACCATATATAAAATCAATCTTCTATAAGTGTTTTCTAATAGACTATCCATAAGTCCCAATAAAAAGAGTTCTTGTTTCATCTAAATATTAATCTTCCAAATTGTTGTATCATCATATGTATTTGTTTCCTTTTTTTTTTTTTTTTTTTGCTTTTTCACAAGTTTACCATGCATAGTAAAATGTCCCTTCCTGTTTTTCATATTTCCAACAATGACTAGAAGTATCTTTATACATCTTAGATAATTTCTCTGGCGTCATATACCAGCAGTACATCATTTTGTAAAAGTTCTCTCTTAAATTATAACACAATAATGTAAATTTCAGCCCCTTTATCCACATTCTCTCCCATTGATCCATCTGTACATTATAGATAAAATTCTTTTTTCTTTTAATAATTTTTATTGGAGATTATATAAAACAGATGAAATACAAAAATCAAATACAAAAATAGATTTAAGACAATGCAAAGAAAAAAGAAAAAAATTAATATACTTCTTTTTTACCTTCACCCCAGCTATTCTCTCATCTTGTCTTATATCGTCATTCAAAACTTCAAGCACCAGAATGAACAGCAGTGGTGAAAGCAGGCATCCTTGTCTTGTCCCTTTCTGTGTTTCACAGGGATTTTGTCAGTTCACAATTCCTGCCTTTTGTAAAATATATATCGATTTCACCCATTTAATAAAATTTTCTCCACATTCCATATTTTCCAAAATTTTAAACAGGAAAGTCTAGTTCAAATTGTTAAATGCTATCTCCACATCAAGAAATATCAATGTGGCTTGTTTTTCATTATGGTGTTCCAAATATTCTAATATGTTAAGGATATTTCTAATATTGTCTCTTAACTGTCTTTTTTGGCAAAAAGCCACATTGATCTTCATGTATAAAATCTTGCAAAACACTTTTCATCCTTTCAGCTAATAATAATATTTTTAATAATGTTAATATTAATAATGTTCAGCTAATAATAATTTTATAATCATTGTTCAATCAAGATATTGGTCGGTAATTTTTTGATAAAGTCAGGACTTGGCTTTCTTTAGGAATTAATGCTGAATTTGCATTTGGCCAACTTTCTGGTATCTTTCCACTTTCCAAAATGGAATTCATCATTTTTTGAAGAGGTTGAAACAGCTCATATTTAAAATATTAATTATAGGAGGCTAGCAATCTGTTTGGACCAGGAGCTTTCCCTATTTTTTATAGCCTCACAAATTCTGTTACTGTAATAGGTCCATTCTTTGCCTGCTTTTGTTTATCCGTTATCTTTGGTAAATTTTGTTTCTTTAAATATTCATCCACTTTTGCCAGGAAATTTCTTCTCCTTTATAAAGTTTTATATAACGCTGATAGAATATTCTTTGCATATTTGCATTATCTGTTACCATAGCATTTTCATTTTGTAGTTTTAATATCATTTTCTTCTCGCTTGCTTTTCTCAATTTATATGCTAACCATTTCCCCAGCTTAAACTCAACATTCTTCTGTTTTGAAAAAATCATTTTTATCTCCATTTCTTTTATCGATAACATAGAAAACTGGCATTATAGAAGTTTAACTTGCTGTGAGATATTTTTTCCTGTGGATTCCTTTTGCATCTTCTCTTTGTCTTTTCAGTTTACCATTTTGCTGTATGAACTGTCCTCTCATAAAAGCTTTACTTGCATCCCAAACTATGCTTATGTCCATGCCTTTATTTAAATTGATCTCAAAACATTCTTTCAACTTCTTTTTGCAGTCCTCAGTTGTTATTGGTTTTCCATCTATAAATTCTGCCTTTACTCTATGTTAAAGCCACTGGGTTATGATCTGAAAAAGTTTTTGATAATATCTCCACGTTATTAGTACATGTAGCAAGTTTCTTAGAAATCCAAAACATACCTATTCTTGAGAAAGATCTGTGCCTTTCAGAAAAAAAATACATATATTCCTCAGAATCACCATTTTTATGTCTCCATATACAGTATCTATAAGCTCAAAGTTGTCCATTGTTTCAAAAAAATAGGTTCAGCAATTTACCTTGTGTTGATTTAATTCCTTTCATAGGGGTTCTATCTTTTTGTGGGCAAACCACTCCATTCCTTTTCCATCTCTTGATTTATTATTTCTGCCTTATTTTCCAAAATTTCTATTTTTTCTCTAATTTGTTTAATCTCTTTACTCATCTGTATCACAGATTCTTCAAGTTTTTTATTTATCTTTTCTTCCATATTAGTAATTTTTTCCTCCATGTTCTCCATTCTCTCTTCTAGGGTAGCCAGATCTCTCTTAACTGATGCAGGCACTGATGCAGTTACTGATGCTGTAACATTCTTCCCTAATTCTTCAAACATCCTTTGTAAACACTCTGGCATAATCCATTTTTCTATTTGTTGTCCTTCTAATGAACCTCTCCTCCCTTCTGTAATTTTCTGGTAGTAACCATTTTTTCTTTTTTCTAATTTGTAATCCAGAAAGGAGAAGTAAAGAATAAAAAATAGCCCTTTTTTTCTGTATTTGTAACAATTTAGTCCCTTTTGCCACTCCCTACTTCTGTAGTCACATGATCTTTCACAATTTTCTGTTTCCCTTCTGTCTCCACTTACCTCTTTGTTTAGCAAAGGCAATCATAGTCCTTAGAAAGTTTAAACAATCTTTTTCCCATGGAGGTATGTATTATTTATTTAATTAATTCAAAAGTACTTTAAATAAGGCAATACTCCAAATTTAACTGTTCCCGTAGTCCATTTTTAACTTTTGCATTCCAAACTCTTGGCAAGCTTTTTGCTTTTTACTCTTTTTAAAGTTTTTACAGGTTTTTTTCTTACTTTTAATCTTTTCCATGGGTTGAAGGTACATTCACCCAGATGGCTTTGAGCGCTCTGCTGCTTTGAAGGTCCCTTTGCACTTTAAATTTCCTCCATCCAAAAGTGCTTTAGAAAAGTGGATTGGGTGAATCTAGTGTCCTTTAAGCAGGCTTTGATTGAGGCTGTGAGAAACCTGTTTTCTCCAGGGACTCCTGATGCTCTTACTTGTGAGTCACCTGCAGGATCCCTCTGGATTCTGTGGGTTTCCTTTGTAAGGAGCTGCCTTTCAGCTTGGGCGTACCACCCAGCTGCTGGTCTTTGCCTCTGCATCGTCTCCAGTGCAAGGAGACTGTTCTAGTCTGCCATGACCGCCTTTCTAAGTTGCTCATGACTAAGGTATAAGTGACTAAGTTGCTCATGAGACCCTGATTTAATGAATTAAAACTTTGTTTAAAGTTTAAATTAAAATTAAATTAAGTTTAGTTTGTGACTTGGTACTCATCCACTTCTTTGTCTTGCCCCCATTCTCTTTTTTGAGTCCAATCACAATATGCCACTCAAGAGTATAGCTTTTGGAAAAAAACCCACCCTCACCCCAAGTAAGGTTCTCCTACTGTTAACTAAAACATGGATAATTGTAGCAATGTCATACCTTCCCAGGAGAAAGTTAGTGTGTTGATATATTAACCAAGCTGAACATAATGCTGGCCAGAATGTTAAATATACCATGCATCATTTCAGTAGATCAAGCAAGAAATCTCAAGAAATTATTGTTTTGCATACTTTTAAAATTTGTGTGACTTTAAACTATGCTAACCGTTTAGTTTTTTACATTGTTTTCAGTGAGTGTAGGAAGTGCATTTGCCTTATAAGGACTATTATTGCCATGTAATTTGGTTTGTGTGTGTGTGTGTTTGTGTGTGTGTATGTATTTCATGAACTGACAAGATTCTTGGTTTTTAGATTGTCTCCTACCTGCTTGATCTCCCAGAAAAAGATGAAGAGGAGGTAGAACGAGCGCAAATCAACAGTTTTGACAGCCTTTGGGGAGAGACAGGTAAATTCTTTAGATAGCATATTTATATTCCTTGGATACATAGAGGATTTATTGAAAGAGATTTGGTTATTCTGTGGGAAATTCTTTGCAATGCCAAAATTACCTTCCTGTTTTCTTAATTTGGTGAGTGTCACATGTAATTTACTACAATTTAGTTTAGGAAACGAAAGTTAATTTGCCAGTTAATTAGGCAACCTAAGATACTGATGAAATAGGACGTGTTCAGGCTTCATAGGCATTGCCCAATACATTGGAAAACTGGAGCATTCTGGCCTCTAGTACATGAGTAGTACACTATTGCTGTACAAAAGAGCATTTATACAGACACAGTTAAATCTATTAGAAATTATAAATATTAACTTTGCTGTTATGTTAATTTTTCAATCAGTGCTGTTTCTCACATTTTTAAATACCTTGGTGCAAAAAAGGTATATTTCAATTTTCAGTGTTTTTCTATAATCATTAAGTCATATGAGCAAAGATCTACCTAACTTTGGTGTGATAAATCTGGCAGCTAGCAACAATTAAAAAATGACCCATGTTTCTATCTCACAGTGTACTAATCACATAGGCATATTACAAGGATGAAGTGGAATAAATCCATATATACTGACCTGATCTCAGAGCAAATTAGAAAGATACATAAAATTATTTTAGTGGAGTAGGTGTCTTTGCGCATCAACTTGTGGTTCACTCATATTACATGTGATCAGTCTTCAGTCCAACATCCTTTCACTATTTCTACCTCAATATATTGTATTTTTCCAAACCACTTTTATGGATGCATTGTTAGTTGATTGTAGTTTCCAGTTATTATTGACTCATGTGCATTTCTATCTGGCATTATTAATTCTTGTCAGCTGGAGTGCCTTTAAATGGTAGAGCCATTTTTCCTCATCTTACCATTAAGATTAGGGATTTGCAGGTAGGGTATTTCTAGCTTTCTTCATGCAGGTAGGATATTTGTAGCTTTCTTCTTCTATTTTCCCTTAACAGTAGGGATAGTTGATCAACCACTTTAAGCCTAGTTCACAGTTTATATCTACAGGTAGTCCTCAACTTATGACCACAATAGGGACTGGAAAATTCATTGTTAAGTGGTGCAGTCGTTAAGTGAGGCATCATGTGACCGCACCTGATTTTATGACATTTTTTGCAGCAGTCATTAAGCAAATCACAGTGGTTGTTAAGTGAATCATGTGGTCGTTAAGCAAATTGTGTGGTTAAGTGAATCACACGGTTCCCCATTGACTTTGCTTGTTGGAACTAGTCTGGGAAGGTTGCAAATGGTGATCACGTGACCAGGGGTGCTGCAACTGTCATAAATACATGCCAGTTGCCAAGCACCCAAATTTTGATCAAATGACTGCAGGGACACTGCAACGGTGGTAAGTGTGAGGACTGGTTGTAAATTACTTTTTTCAGCACTGTTGTAACTTCAAATGGTCGCTAAATGAATGGTCATAAGTTGAGGACTACCTGTACATGATTATACAGCTATGAATAACTGAGGTTTTTTTTTTTTCATTTTAATGCTGTGGTTCTGCACAGATGCACATATGTTTACAAAACACATATTTTAAAAAACTTCTAAAAAGATGAGATAGCCCAATCTTGGACTTCTTCCACAATTGTAGCATTATACTTGAGGTATGTGCATCCAATATAAATATATTAGTATAAACATTTTTTCATTTTTTCATTTTCATTTTTTATTAGTTTTGCTTTAGTATATACAAAGAAAGGGGAAACAATCCAAAGAAGAAAAAAGGGGAAAAGGACAGAAAACATAATACATAATATAATTCAGTGTATGTGGGAGAGGCAAATTATGAAAGCAGTACTGTGACATTGCCCATACGTATAAAAAGGGGTGAAGTTTGCATCATGACAGCGCAACACTATTTTTGTCATTTTGACAAAAGCCTTCAATCTTGCAGACACCTCTGATAATAAAAAACAGCTAACTTTTAAAACACAGCATTAAAGCTTGACTACCTGGAATAATATTTAATTAGTATTTTCAATACATCAATAAAAAGCCAGTTCATATACAAGTATGAGCACATATCCAAGACTGTATTTCCAGGATGATACTGTATTTCTGTTGTAAAGCAGTATATATGTATGTATGTAGTTTTGCTTTGCCCCATGCTAATTACATCTACAATTTTTCATATTGATACATTCCAAAATTTTGGTATATAATTCAAAATCACATTTACATCTTTAATCTATATTATTCTTTGAAAAGCCATATTAATGAAAGTATGGAAATTAAACCAAAAAAGGACTATTCTGGAAAAAACCCATATCATATGTGTGGTGTTCCCTCTCATTTTATAGTTCCAGAATAATGCTGTTGACAGTTGATCCTTTTTAAACATTATCTGTAAATAAAAGAGCCTTTAATTTAATCAATCTTATCTTAAGATCATAAACATATTTAAGACACTTTAAGACTCGTAACAATTGGTTTGTTAAAAAAGTATAATCAACTCTTTGTTGCCAAATATTTTAAATAACTAATATCAGTCTTAACAATTATAAAGGAATTAGCTCTCCGTTTGTGATGGAAAAGAGAGAGGGAAAATGATTGCTGAGCCCTGGGGAAGGCATGAGAAAGAAGAGTTGCAGAATAGCTCAGCCTTGACTGTGTTGTCCTTAAAAAAGAGGAGTGAAAATTTTGGACAGGCTTTCAAGATTCTACTAATGTACCCTACAATAATAAAGTAGCATTCCTGGAATCCTTGCCATGACTGCTCTACAACCTTGCTTACCTTGAAAGGCCAATAACAATATTCCTTTGAACTCTATACACGTATATTTGGAATTATCCAAATGTATTTTAATACTGATAGTGATTCAGGATGCTGCTAATAGAAATCAAAAGATGTGTTAATTAGATATTCTGTTTTTATCAATCCAGATTCCTCTTACAATAACTTAAAACTTAATTGGGAATAAGCTGATTGAAAGTATTATACCTCTCTTGGTTTATGAACTAAAAAAAAAACCCTGCAGTTTTCAAACTGGGATTATTTCAAAGAATAAGCTTGCCACGTCAACAAAAATCAAAATTTTACTTCCACCTCAGCATTGCAGCCTTTAATGCTGGAAATGTGTTAGTGTTATTACTAAAAAATGGAACTAAGCCCCCACTTAGCCCAGTTAGACTTCCAAGATTGATATCAACCCTCAGGACATGTGCTGTACCTCCTTCTCCTCCTTATAGTTCAGTAAATTAGGGCAGTGTCTGCCTGAGCTGTTTCCTAATGTTATCTCTTTGTTTTGGACTTAAAAAATGCTTCAGCCCATTTGCCTAGCTTATGGTTCCTACATATCTCCGTCAAGGTCCTCTGATTCCAGGCTCACAACCAACTATAACTTTTGACAGAGTTGGGCTCCTCCAGAAAAAACAGGTTCTCAACTTGGGATCTTCTTAGACTCTGTCTAAGTTGCTTGACGGGCAACTAAAAACAGTGACAAGGAGGGCCTATGTCCAGCTTTTAAGCTGGTGTGTCAGTTGCTGCCTTTCCTGGAATGGGGAGCACCGAAGGCAGTGACTCGCACTCTTGTTATCTCTCAATTGAATTACTGTAATTTGTTGTACGTGGTACAAAATGTGGCTGCATGTAGCTTATAGGTCAGACACTTTACTGACATGTGACACCACTTCTTTAGGAAATGCAGTGGTGGTCACTTTGTTTCCAAGTACAATTTAAGGTGCTGGTCACTGCCAAAAAGCCTAAATGGCTTTGAACCTGGGAATCTTCAGGACTACCTGTTCTAAGTAAAATCTGCCCATTTGTTTCATGTAAACAGAGAGTACCTGCTGAGAGCCCCCGTATATCAAAATGATTGCTCTGCTGCTCAAATGGGGGGAAATTAAATGAGGGATTGGCAAGGTTTATTACAACCATCTGACTCTGGGGTGGGTCTTGTGTCCAGTATTGGATAATTAGTAGAGTGGGGTGTCTAGGTAGCTGAGGGCATCAGAGATGGAAGGAAGGGTAATGATAGGGATGGACAGGGGAAAATATGGTGAGAGATAGGGGGTTAGCTATTCCAGGGGGAGAGGCATTGGAAATTTGGTTCCCATTTCTATTGCCACCCTCCAGTCTCAGTTTAGGAGGCAGGCAACTGGATTGCTGGTTGTGCCAGACCCAGGTTGATACTTTTGAATGCCAGGTCTGTCTGCAATAAGTCCAGCCTTGTCCATGATTTAATTGTGGATGAGAAGGCAGACATGGCATTTCTCACTAAGATCTGTCTAGACAAACAGGGGGGAGTCCCCTTGCTGAGTTTTGTCCAGCCAGATTTCTCATCTTGCATTAGTTTCAACACTGGGCAGGGGATTTGGTGTATCAGTTTTGTACCTGGAGACCCTGGGAGGTGGTCAGATGTGTACTAGTAGAGTTGGGCCAAAGGGATAAGCTGAGATCACTGTAACTGTACTATCCTCCCAGCTGCATGGCAGCATCTCTTCCTGAGTTACTTGATCCCATTGCAAGAGTGGTTATAGATTCACCCAGTTTTTGTACTGAGCAATTTGACCTCCTTTCTCTAGTTCTGGAGTTCATGGCCACCATGACAACCATGTACTTGTCCCAGGTCATCATTATATCACAGATTCAGGATGGCACAGATCTCAAGCAGGATGCGTACCCATCAATTTCAGTTAAAAATATTTTATGATTTAAAAAATGTTGTTTTTCATTACAAAAGAAAGACTACCCATCCCTTTCTAATTTACAATCAAGGTCTATCCTAATTCTACTATTTCTAACAGCTAGCTTGAACTCTATCCTATCTCTGTTGTCAGCTGTTTCATCTGTACTTGACTATCATGGAGCTGGAATGATTTGGGTGATGGTGATATATCTTGTAGTGCTGTTCTTGCTTTACAGTGGGGCAAAAAAGTATTTAGTCAGCCACCAATTGTGCAAGTTCTCCCACTTAAAAAGATGAGAGAGGCCTGTAATTTTCATCATAGGTAT